CGTATATATTTATTATTTTTGCATTAAAAAAAATTTAGGTTTAAGCATCCATGTAGTAACGCGTATTAATATAGTGTTTGCTATATCATGGCGTATATATATGTTCATAAGTCACAGAGTATTAGGGGCGACACTCGTGTGGGATGAATCAAATTAAGACTATTACTATTGTTCGTTGATTTTTACGGAAAAACTGCATACGCATGAACCACAAAATTGTCTAAATCAATATTGAATAATATAGGTATTATATATATCTGGGATGTTTACGATAAAAAAAAAACCGTTAATTTGACTACATTATGTCTCTCGGTGATACATGGAATATAAATCATAATCGAAACTTATGAAGTGAATTATTGACTATTATTAATTATTACAGACAACGAATTCATCGAATAAAAATATATATATTGCAATCGCATGTAAACAAACGGATACTTTTTTGCGCTGCCGCCTCCACCGTCGCTGTCATTGAACCTGTGTCGCATTGGCCGGCGACCTTGACGCAGGACAACGTGTTCGCATCGGCCGAGTAAGTCATTTGTAAATATAGGTACAGTAATTTTCGTTCGATTTTTTTCTATCTTTACCGCCAACCTTAGCCCTCGGCTCAACAATAACATAATTATTCTTCGTGTGTGTCCTAACATCCTTACTGTTGCCCTGTTGCGATAAGTCGATGAAATGAATATACCTATATTTGCAAGTGTGAAGATAAAACTCATACTACCCACTCGTTTCGCGTTCAAAAAATGTGTTGACTAGGAGAGCACGAATAATTATTGAGAATGTGTACCTATACGAGTTTAGTGCGGTCGTATATGCGAAGATGATAGCGATTTATTCTTTCTCGACTCTCGAGTGAGTAACCGCCCACCGGAATGGAATGGGTTATATGTAAAAAATGTATACTTCACTTCGAGTAGAAGTTGACAGACGTGCTGTTTGCAAAATAAATATTAAAATTATATTTGGTATACCTACATTGTATTCGGACGACTATTATAAATCGCTATTTAAACATAATATTATAATATATACATTATACGCATATAGAACAGACGTGCGAGGTGCGAGGTCCTACATTTTTCACGAGACGCACCCGTATTTAGGATTTATAATAATAAGCGTGATACTGAATAAATTACGTATTGTTGGATTAAATTGAACGCAATTACATTTACAAGGAATTATAGTAAGAGAAGCTCGTATAAAGAAACTAAACGATTTGAATTCAAATTATACTTCAAAAATCCATCCCTCTAAATAATTAAATCATTTTTATCGTACCTAATAGATACCTATTTCGTGACGATGAAATTTATACAATTAATAATAATAATATATATTAAATATAAGTGGTATTACATAAAGTCTAAAATTCAATTAAAAATATACCTGCGGGATAAAAGTTGTATCGTAAAATTGCGCGTATTGCAGTTATTGTTTCGTATTTAATATTTTGCCATCATAATCATAGACAATCGTAATCGCTGTAATACAATATTTGATTACGACTTGAAGAAAGTCAATAAGTTATAATTTCAATGATTTTATGAAAATTTATAGCTATTGGGTAATATAAAGATCAATATAATCAAACTTCTATGATTGACAAAAGTAAATTATTGAACTCGTTAGAAGACGATTAGTCAGTCAAAAATAGTTATGATAGACTTTCTTCTTAACACGCTATGTCGCAATGTCTCACCAAAATCGTACGCTAATAATTAATATAATACTTCTAAAATGATTTATTTTCACTATTATATATTGTCAATTAAGAATTTAATTTTCAACACAATGATAAAATATTATCATTGTGGGTTGATATGAAATAAAATATTTCTAGCTGTGTTCCTCTTGTGTAGTTTGATTTKTATGTATTAAAAATGATACATATAAATTGTAATACATAATTATTATGGTATTATGGTACATCATTTTCAAATGTTATATATGGTGCCAGCATGTTGTTTGAAAATGAAATTACTTACAATTATTGTCTTTACTTTTTTTTTCATCAAAAAATATAAATAGTTGTACAACCACATACTTATATTATAAAATATAGATAAACATAAATAACATTTCGTTTCAAGTATGTAAACGAGAATTAAGAATTAATATAAAACATGAAACCAACGTAGTCACATTGATTTTATTTTAAATATAAAATGTTAATAATTATATAGATATAGCTATTTATTTAATTTTACTACAGAGTATCCACATGTAAATTTGGTGAAATTTATTTAGGTTAGTTCAGCTTAATTAATAGCATTTTTTTTCAGGCTTTTACGAGCCATTTAGACTCTTGGCCGCCAAAACTAATACCAAAACTACTATAATAGCATTAAACATGGTTATAACCCTTCAAGCACTTTAAATCCTAAACTGAAAATTAAATAACTTATTGACTTTAGAAACCAAATAATATATAATTATTACAAACATTATCGGCTACACATTTCATTATAATAAAATGTGTATAAGTATAAATTAACCGCATAATATGAAAACATAGCCAACTAAATAAAAATATATTTAGTAATTATTTATAAAAAATAATCTTTTATGAAACTTAAGATATTAAACGACAGTTGAATATGTAGGTACAACATATCTTTATATTAGAAATATAAAATAAATCAATATTATTATAAAATAAAATTTTTCAAACTTAACTTTTTATACTTTAAAAATATATTATAGTTTGTAGGACATACAATTTTAAATTTAAGAAGATTTTCAACTATACTTACATATTCATGAGTTATTTATTTATTTTTAATAAAATGCATAAGAACGTTTAAATTTAACTATATAATAGTASATATAAACAATGTATTTTTGACATTTGTTTGTATATTATCTTTCTTAATTTTACTTCGGAAAAAAAATATTAAATTAAAGTTTGTATATAATTTWTGGAAATCTTTATTTCAGTAGTGTTATTTTATTATTGCAACGATTGTTTTAACAGATTAAATTAAAAATTAGACTGGCCTCCAGTCGAAATATCACATATTATGCTTGCGACCACGACGATCTAATGAGATGAAAAAACGAATGAATAAAAAAAACTCGAAACCAGTTTTTGAATATAGTTAACTGTATTAAAAAAAATACATTTGAATATGATATATACCGTGGAAGAATGTAAATTACGTTTGCAAAAATTAAGTGTTGAACAAAAAATATCTATAAATAATAATTTTATGTAAAATACAAAATATAGTCGTTTCGGAATAGATCCGTCATGAAAGATTAATAATTCAAAATATGGTTTTTTATGAAGTCGTCAATAAATGTTTCTGTCTATATTAATTTATTTGTATAGGTATAATTACGAGTAGTCCCGAGTCACCATATAATTAGTCCTTACCTTCGAGTATGACCGCGTCGTCTGTGTATGTCTCGCGGTACACTTCATTCCTCAGGGACAAGGTCGGAGAGATAAAGTACAAGAGCAGCAATAAGACGGTGGTGATCTGCAGCCTCAGAGACAGRCGGTAATGATTACGAGATGGTCGCTGCTCATCTGGCCGATCCGGCCCGGAAGACTTCATCGTCGTGGACGGTTTCTCTTAATACTGTCTGCACAGGRCGGTGCGGCCTTTGAATCGTAGTAATATTATAAATGATGGTGATGACGGCGACAGCGTTTGWATCGAAATGCGACGGCGACGGCAAAACGATTTCGCACTACGACCSGCTGTGATGCCGGCAATCAGTGCAACTGACCGTTGGTCACGARACGCGCCCGCCATTTATTGAGAATCTTGTACGGGCATGAGGTTGCGGTTACTTCTTCTTCTACTACTGCTGTAGATAGATACTACTACTTAGAGTGGCTCCAGCAGTTTATTACACGGTAGCGGTATTATATGTATATACACTGTACAATGTATAGGGTGTCTCAACCGCGTGTTTTCCCCCTATAATACAGCCTGTATACATTTATAATAATATTTATCTGTTCGAATACTGATTGGAAATCAAATTTTATTCAACTTGGGAAATATTTTAGAATAGGTACACTTTAAACACTAAAATTGCAGACAATCACATAACCATAATATATCTTGTGGCTTGAGAAAACTATAAATGACTATCACAAGCCCCCCCTCCTCCCCATCAACCACTTAGAAACTTTAAATTTAAAAAATAAATAAAATGTATAACTATGATTGAACATTCGAGCCACAACAAAAATAATAACRTATAATTTATAAATCAATTTATCTCAAAATTACATTTTATTACCCTGAATTAGTTATATAACAAAGGTGGCAAAGTGTCTTAATAAACATGAGGTTAAATTAATAACAATTTTAAAGTGTATAACGAAAAAAAAACATCTTGTTTTTTATTTTGCTATTATTTKATACCTATACTATATTATATGTGTATATAATTATAAYATATGTAGATACAGTATAAATTTAGTTATATATATGTGTGTGTGTGAGTGAGTTATTATTTAAATTTATGGTTTTAAACATTATTATTTTTTTAAATTTTAATTGAATAAAACTCAATTTGTTTTATTATTATAATTAAATGCAGTAATTTGTGTATAGATACACAAAAACGTATAATGAAAAAGTTAGATTAAACTAATAATCATAGGTAGACTATAGGTACGTATTAATAAATAAATTATTTAAGAAAAAATTATATTAAGGAATTTATTTATATAAGTATTATTCAAATATATTAAAATTTCATCAGCTAAAAACTTATAACTAAAAATGTACTGGTATACTTTAACTAACTTTTTTATTTTTCATGAAGATAATGGGTCAAACTGAACATGTTTGAGGGGGGCATAGATTTTACAATACCTACCTATAAAGGTACCTATTTTAGTCTTGAATGTAAATTTTAGAAACTAATAATTAGAAAGTTCATTTTAAGTGGTTGAATATTTGGTTATAAATATAAATATTTGTCTTAGATTATATACAAGTATATAATATGATCTAAGGTATTTAAAATCATTAATCAATGATAGAATAGTTTTAGTGTGAATATGTAATAATTTTTAATCTTTGAAAATATACTGTTAGTTAACCAAGTATATTCACTAATTTAATACTAAAAATAATTCATTTGATATACTTTAAAAGTCTCAATTAAATATCAAATATCAACGTATAAATGTATAATATTTTTAAATTACTACAAAACAATAATTAAGACTGTTATTATCCTTTTAGATTTCCAATTTTGTTCAAATTTGAACTTAAAATATCTTTTAAAAATTACTGTGTTTATATAATTTCCAGATTTTTAAGGTTATACTATAAAATACTTATGAAAAGTCTAAACAATTATCCACCCTTAACTATAAGAATAATTGAGCATTTTATAAATTTTTAAGTATACAGTAATTTGCCAATTGTTGATGATAGTTAAAATATGAACTTAAAACGCTTTAATAAACGCTTTAATCTATAACCTATAAGGATCCTTGTATTAAATTTTCAAACTATTTAACAAAGCAAAAAACTTTTTACATATCTATAATAAAAATAGAAATTGTCTTATGCCTATTAATAGATCAAAAAAATTAAAAATATTTTGGAAATTGTATGACGTATAAAAAATGCTGGTCTCAATATTTGGTGAAAAATTTTATTGTAGGTATATCTATTATATAGGTTAATTTCTTAGTTACACCAAAAAACAGAATCAATTTTATTAAAAATTAGTTTTGCGTTAGAATTCCGGTTTATCCTTAAATTAATTTTTTTATTTTCCTTGATGCTTTTAAAAATTATTGAGAATCTTCCCGTTAATTGTATAGCCCTACTAAATYCACTTTCCCACCAGAAAAGAATGAAAAGATACTGAAGTGGAAAATCGAAACATTATTTCGACTACTATTATAAATTATAATGCATACAGACACACACACTGATGTAAAAATGTAAAATCAATGCGTTAGGTTAGGTTTTAATGTTTTTACAGTGATACATTTTATACTACATATTTATACGGTGGTCTTTCAGGGTTGCCCAACACTTCATAATCGAATGCCTATACTGATACATCGGAACTTTTCATATTTTATGGCTCAAAAATTTCTTGTCGAGGAGTGACGATTATAAAAAATATTTCATTCCCATTATCAGTTAATTTTAATTTGTAAATCAAGTAAATAGTTAATTTTATCAATATAACTCCGGCTGCCGAAATAATGACCATCYTWACAARGRCAGKGTGTCATAACCCTCCATATCTCCACTGGCCCATCTTCCATCCGGTCATGATAATACTACATTTATTGAATAAAGTAAACTAATAATATAGCAATAGGTTATACGTGCCTAACAGAGAAATATGCTATTTTATATTATAATATTATTGATTTGAAAAAAAATAGCTATAATAGCACCTTACCAACACCTYGTATGAAATATTTATATTTATGCTCAATAATAAAAAACTACATAAAAGATAAAAAGAATTTAAAAATAAAATTCTTACATAGTTAAAAAAATTCAATGATATTTCAAATTTTAAACTTTGTGAAAAAATGTTAATAACTGTTTTTTTATTATAGTTTAAATACGATGGCAAGGTACCCCTCCCCCTCACTGTTGGCGGTAGGTAACAAACCGGTCGACACTTTTTTGTACAGCATAACTTATCTGTATGTTCTAGAAACCGATGGAAATAAAAATTTGAAATATTACTTATGCATAAAATATACATATATTGTACAACAAAAAATGTGAACTTCCAAAATATTGTATAAGTATACAACTCTTAATCTCTTATACTGCAGTTATGTAAGCGTTGTAAACTATACGTGATTGAAACGTTAGGATAAACATTTTAAGGGACTCCATGAAAAACTATTTTTTGTCAGGCTGGCACTGAAAGTTAAATTTTCGATCGTGGGTTATTGTAGCGTTTGCCGTTCTTTTTCCATTCAGCTGCAGACATAGTAAATCTTCTGTTTCCRATCAATGTGCAGATTGGCAGGYGGTAAAGTGAAAATTCTCAGAATATAAACGGCAGAAAAGTGGAAATATCCACTACAAAGCGGCTTTACTGTCCAAAWCAGATTTAAATAATATACATGCTGAATATTAAATAGTAGGTGGGTTACACCCATTATRCTTTTTTATATGAAACAGAGACGTGACAAAAAATCGTATGTGTAGCTCGTGTGGGATTACCAAATACTAATTTCAGTATTGGGCGAATAGCATCTCTTGCAGCCTGTGACTCGTGCCACAATCGTCGTTCGAGACTGAAATTGCTCATTTCTTACCATGGCCACATCATATACTATTTTTCGTGCATCGGATARTAAATATTATTTTCCGCTAGCGTCGCACGCAACGATTGAAAAAAATACTATCAAAATCTGATGCACATAATAATATAATGATGAACGTACMTATCGAAACGCTTTGTGGTTTTAAACTTTTATCCAATAACTTTAGGGTAGATAATACTAGCAAGTARTAAGTGGGTTACTCCCGTAATGTTCTGTAATTATGGTCATTTTGTATAACTAATGGTTAAAAAGAATCTCATCATAATTATATTACTTATCATCATATTATATTGATCGTACTGTATAGACAGTGACAGTGACAYATAGTTTTTMATTATAATATAGATATTAAGACATCTGTAGCTTTATATTATTATGCCTTTATCGAAATAAACTGTTCAATCGGTTCGGACGACACCCACCAACCTTTGGCCAATTCTTGACAACAGCACTCCTCCGCGGCGTTTGCCTACCGATGTGGTCATGTTATGCGTAATGAGCTTTATAATATACAACCAATATAATATTTCGTGTTTATAATTAACAAATATATTTTTTTAATTGCCTATTGGCTATTTCTAATATGCCTATTAATTGCGTTTTTARTTAATATTAAATTATAACCAAATCAATATTAAACCTATTTATTCTCTCTTCGATCGTCGAATATATGACAAGTTTGCAATTGAAGTAGAGTGAGTTAATTAATTATATAATATAAAACCTTATATATATATATATATATATAAAGTAGTAAACTGGAGTACGTTCACAAAATACAATAATAAATCATGAGTAAAAAGAACATCCCTTCATTTTTATATTATTACAGTTGTTTACGATAATTAATTTAATCTAGATAACGGAAATGGCAAGAAAAGTAGTTCGTTATGGAATACCGTAAAATCTATAAACAAATAGAAGTGTCTTCARTTTGAATTATAAAAACACTRATTCAAAAAGTAGTTAAAAGTTAACCACGGACTTACAATATTTTTTAATCARGAACTAAAGGTAGGTACTATTATAGCTAGGTATACTATATAGTACTATATCTATTTTAATATTTTATGTAGCTGATCGCTGCTAAAATTAATAACCGCAGCCCAGTAGCGTAGCTGGAGTTCAATATAGAGTGGGGGGGGGGGCTATTTAAATGTTATATTATTTAATATTTTATTTCTTATATTGACCATAACAGAATAACCGTGATTAAAACATCACTAATAAGCAAATCCAAGAGGAAAGGGCATCCACAAAAACCCAGCATTGGTATTGCCGCAGACTGTAAAACTAATAATTGGAAATTGGAATTATTATCGACAAGCAAACAAAAAGTAAACGACATACGTACATTACAAACGCCTACAAAAACTTAATAATACTACAACTATTTATAAGAGTTTGTTGGGTTGATCTTCTTTCTTTATCGTAGTCAAAGTATATTATAAGGTACCTATTGTTTATTCTTAAAAATATCATGTGGTAGCACAGAAGAAACAGTTATTGCAACTGGTAGTAATCAACCATGTGTCATTATGAATTTTAGATTCTTTATCCCATTTTTCTCTATAATCTTTAGTAGGAAACCTGAAACAAACATTACACTATATTTTCAAACGTTTAGATATATATTTTTAAAATCTCAATCGATGGTTGGGAAAAAATTCTCGGAAAAAATGAGTATCCGGAAAAAAGTTTAAGGGGAAAAATTCTGTTGTATAAAGACAAGAACTATTAATTATGTAACAATAATACGATATAATAGCTAATAAATACAAAAGATATATTTAAAAAAAAAA